TTACTTGAGACCTTGGTAGTGGTACAGAAGGCGTGGTCAGAACCAGAGAGCAAGAGAACCAAAACAAAAGGGACATCCAGAGAGTAAACTAAAGACCAGTCCAAGTTCAAAAACCAAAAGTTCAGATGGTTATCAGCAAACAAGGGCAAAGACAAAAGGGCAGGTCAAAACACAGAAAACAGGCCATACACAGAAGGACTTTCACAAACAAAGAACACTCAGTACGCTACGGGAGGTGTTGGCAATGCTTCACAAACTACTAGACTAAAGCCTGGATTTATATACTAACTGACTGATGGAGTGTAATGACTAAAAGGTGAGACAGCTTAGAATTCCGGTGTGGAGGAATGCTGGAATGAATGTTCATTGGTTGAAGGCAATGGGATGAGAGTCATGTGATCTCCCAATGACTCATGGTAGTTGTAGTCCTCTAGACAGTCTGAGGTGTCCTCTGCAGGAGGCGTGACGCTTTACTTATTTAATTACTTTATGTACCACTAATATACATTAATGGATGTTAGCACTACCGCCCCCATCCCCCCAGTTCTTTGACCCCTCCATCCCTTTAGAATTTTTTTTTTCCAATTCAACCACTGGTTGCTGGTAAGTACATTAATTTGGCGGTGCTGGTACACAGTTCTTAGCTATCTCCCACAGAAACTACTTTTCTTTCCTTTGTTACAAGATGACTCAATCTCGTAACACAGTCCTTACTGCCTGCCAACTGGCGAGCTCGGCCCGCCCTCACACAGCGCACAGCAGCTTCTGGAACAGGAAGAGTGTGTTCAGTGTTGTGTCTGGAGGAGGAAGAGTGTGTTCAAGTTGTGGTGAAGATGCTGACCGGACTTTCAGGAATGACTCTGGATCAAACTGATACGGCAGAACCGACGCCGCAGGAAAAATAGCCACACCAGTGATCCAGTTCTTTTCAAGGCTCATTGGTAAGAACAAAGGTACACTAAGTTGGATTTGAGAGCCGTTCTGTTTATCATTGTGCCCTGAATTCCTCATTCCAGTCTCGTTCCAGTCACATAAAAATCTCACGTTAGTCACCTCACCAAAGCCAGCAACTCTGTTATGTAACACTATTCCTATTTATATTAAAAGAATCCTTAATGCTTACGCATATCTGAAATAAACTGCATCCGACCCCTAAGGAATTCCTAACTGGATAGTTTACAAACACCTTTCAAAAGGTCGGGGCGGCGTAACTCCCCCCTCGCTCCAGACCCACTACGCATACCTTATTCATTCATGCTTGATTTGTTTTTTAATGCAACAAAAAAACATCCAACATTATCCCAAACCTCTAATTTCCCTATACCAATATCCCCCCACACCCCTATCACCACATTAACACTAATACATACAAAATCAGCATTCAACATACACCTCGGCTAAAAGTTCGTTTCGTTTTATCATTTCTTTATATAACCAAAGTTCACAATGTCCAGTCCATCATCAGCAAAGCACGGGGCAGCAGAGAGCGAGAGAGAGTCTGGGAGATACGGCGTCTCCCCTTTAAACCCAGTAGCTCACCGACCGTTTTCAACGTGAAGCAATGGAATTCCTTGAAACGAGAAGCTCCGTCGACCCTCCGATGATCCGCCTCAGCGCCAAGAGTCCGTACTTCCAGAAGCAAAAACAGCGTTACCGTGTCCAGTGAACGACATCCAAAACAACCGGCGGCCGTCTACCTTCCAAACACCTCGCTCTTTCCAACTCCGCTCCTCTCCTCTGTCTCCCCCTCTCTCCCGACGTGCAGTGTACTTTCTGTTTATCTCTGCAGGAGTCCTCCCATTGGCCAGATCGGTCCTGACGTCAGCCCGCACGGCAAAAATTACAGTACTACATATACATTTAAGAGAGCAAAATAATCACCATTATCATCAAACATAATTTGATTTCCCCTCTATATAACATGGTTCATTTAGAAAAAAGGATAGGCATCCAAACTTTAGTTATAGACCATGGGACTTTGTCACAGTTATGCCATCACTTTTTATATTGCATATATAAAATCATCTACAGAGTCTGCAAATTTTTATAACCCAGAACCTCAGAATGGCATAAAATGGCCCTATGAATGGCAAGCAAGGAATATTTGCAGAATATTTTGGCTTGAAGTAGATGTCCATCATGTGGACATTATATGGACCTGCCTTTTGATAAGGCGTTATACAGTGAACAATGGGTGAAGTTAATAAACACTGTTTGATAATATGCTGATATGGAACCACTGTGTCTTCTTGATATGAAGAAGACACAGTGGTTCCACACAAACTGTTGGGTTAATTTAAGGCTGTATTTGACTACAGCCTTGCCTCACACATGGAATGATTTTGCTAACAGTTCACTAAGCCTCATTATGTCTTGCTTGCAACAATCCACATCTCAGAGATCAGCCTCACCTGATTATTGAGTTCTTTCACCTGTTTTTGGATTAAAAAACACCCCCCAAGTCAATTGGACATGGGGGCAGCGGCTCACGGACACAATTGATCATCGAGTTTTGGAAGGTTCTAGTGAGCTGCATGAACATGAACTTAAAAACAAAACCTGGCTTGTATCAGAGACCCTGACCCAGTTACAAATACACATAACCATGAAACTTAAGTCCCACCTGCATCAAAGCCCCCGAATCCTGACTCATAACCCGAGCCAAGTACAGTTACACACGAGTGTGAAACTGAAATCTGAACCTGTCCTGTACAGGAGACCTCCAGGCCTGACTCAGATGAGCCCAACTGGTTCTGCCAGATTAATTCCCAAACTCAAAAACCCTCCATTTATTTTTTTGTTCATTTTTTTGAACAACACACACATGGACATATTCTTCCATGTTTAAGATGCTTATTATGACTCATTCATGGACAGATGCCATGTGTTAAGAAAAAATGATGTTTCATATGTTTCAAATTAGGAAACAGCCGATGACTTTAACAAATCTATTAAAATATAAAAATAAAAATTAATGCCATAAATAAAGATAATATTTGAATAAATTGTTTTATTTAATTAATAGTATGTATTCTTTTTCTGTCATGATTTGTAATAAACTTCATACCTGTACCCCCTGCAGGATCTCCTCACCTGTTTCTGGATGTCCTAATCGCTGTAAATTGATCAAACTGCGAAATGTAGTACTGCATTCATCTTACAAATGTAGAGGATGTTTAACACCATTATTACTTCTATAGGCTGGTAAATACCTGTATTGTATTTTTCATTTTAAAAATACAAGTAGTCATGAAATTGAATAGAGTATAAAACAAGCTTACTGCATAGATGATTATAACAGGCTAAAGCTAGCAAGGCTAAGACAGCTAAGACCACAGCAAGCCAGAAACCAAACAAATGAGCCCAGGGATGAGACATAGGTCACATGATGCCCAGACCTGATAACAAACTTTGTTGCACTGCTTTTAAAGTCCAAGCTCCACCTCCTTGGGCTCAACTCTGCAAGCTGATTGATCAAATGACATCCAGGAAGTGATGGTGACTGACACCCCAAGGAAGACAGTCAAAAGAGAAAGAGAAGGGCAGCTGAGAGGGGAGAGAAAACAAATACATGTGCAAGGCACTAGTTTTTTTAACAGGACACATGCATTGAAATGATCTGAATTTGAGAGGTGTGCAGGTTACATGCATCTAGTCCACCACTCAAGCTAATCTTCTCCTCATAGCGTTTTCTGGAGACGCATCTAAATGGTCTACATATCTTCATCTTTTTTGGTAGTGATTCTGGTCTATTTGACTTGGTCTTTGTCCACCAGCAGGGCTGTAGCTGCAGCAATGGTGATGAGACAAGCTCTATCAGATCACAGTCAGATCACCTACCAAAATGGTGACAAAGGCTTTCTTAATGACAATCAAATACTATGAATAGAGTACCTGCTGTACTGAGGGCAGATACGCTCCAGTTACATACATACATATTCTGTTAACAGCATCCAGAAATCTCACATCATTGTGAACAGCTCTTTGAGGAACGCTGCTTGTTTAAACTTTAGTGTTATTGGGAAATAATTAAACAATATAAAGGGAGGCTGAAATAATACTATAATGACAAAAATGAAAGTTGATAACACACTTGCACAGAACACGTTATGTCCCGACCACAAGCTCAGGTCTAGGAGGAGGGAGAGACAGTGACACAAGGATGGAGGAGTGCAATAAAGGGGTGCAGAGACCAGTACAATGCAGACAAACTTTTAGCAGTTTTATTACACAGACAAACAAACCAAACACACAAAAAAGTTAAGCTATGAACAACAAGTTACAACAGAAAAGTTGTTAAAGTTGTACTGGCTGAATGGGCAGTTTACCCAGGAGGGACTACAGACAGTACCAAAGAAAGAAAACAACAAAATCAACTATTCTAAGCTAAGAGCTAAAGAGCTGTACATGCCACCCTATGCTAAACTACCAATCATACAGGGAGTGGTACCTGCCTTTAAACTTGTGTGTTTAGACAATAACACCTACTGATGTAAATGTAGGTGCACCACAGTCTAGCCTGCCCCTCCTCCTCAGAGAAAAGCACCAGTTTAAAAGAATCAAGAGCCAGTACACCCAGACAAACACTTGTAGACTGAAAACAATCACAGGAAGAGACAAACACAGCTAACAAATGCTAACAAGACTAGCAAGGAAAGGCTAAAGCAAGCTAGCAAAGGCTAATGCTAGAATAGAAAGGCTAAAGCTAGCAAGGCCAAGAGACCTAAGGCCACAGAAAACAAAGAAATGAGCCAGGAGCTGAGACACAGGTCACATGATGCCCAGGGCTGATAACAAACTCACACTCTGGCACACTGCTTTTAAAGTTCAAGCTCCACCTCCTTGGGCTCAAATCTGCAAAGTGATTGGCCAAATGACATCCAGGACATGATAGTGACTGACACCCCAAGCAACATATGAAGAAAAGAGGCAGCCAAAATAGCAGAAGAAGAGCAGCTGAGAGGGGAGAGAAAACAAACACACGTGTTCACAGGCACTGACACGTAACACACATAGTATGTATTGTTGCAGTTACATTTATATTTTACATGTATTGTTTTTTTTAACTACTATGAATTGTGTCCTAACCTATATAATTTATTCAACATGTACTATAATTATGAATTATCTACTGTTAGTTATTCTGCATCCATTGTAAATTAAATAGTGTTTATTATGAATTATTCAGTAGCAACTATAAATTATTCAGTAACTGAACCAAAGTGTAAGTTCTGTAGTTGTGAGAGTGAGGAATGGAAGTGTGGGGACACATACAGACCCTCACAGTTTAAGAGATTAATAAACTGTTGCAAAAATATTAGACAATGCAATATCCACACATTTTGCTTAAGGTTATAGGAAGATCAGTAATGTCAAAATTACATTGTCAGTGTAAAGGAAATTCATAACGTGAGTGCAGTTCTGGATTCTTGCCTCTAGGTGGCTCTCTTGTTTATTATTTCTCTTCTGTTTTGCCAACATTAAACAGTGAAGGCCTGTTGGACACTTTGTGGAGGTAAGTTTTCCTCAAAATCCAACAAATATATAACTTTCTTAAAGCCATCTGTGCTTTAATCCTCTCTGAAAGGGTTCTAGATACATTCAGCAGATGTGCTCCAGTATCATTACGTTCTTTATGGAAAGTTATGACCATTATCTTTCCATAAACTGTCACTGTTAGCAGAGATTGTCATGATAAGAGTGACAACTAATTACAAATACCCTGATATATATCTGTATGTTTATCTTTCTGTTGTTGTTTAATCTCTGTAGCTGATTTATGATCCTGTTTATCTGTGTATCAGTGTGTTATATAACTCTGTGTGCAGTGTGAGGGTCTGGATCTGACTGTGTGGTGTTTGTTTAGGGAAGTTTGAGAAGACTCTGTTCAGTTCTGTCCATAAACCAGCTGTTTTCACAGCATTTATACGTGTGAGTGTGAGTCTGATACAGAAATGAACAGCTGTAAATAATAAACCACTATAAGTAATGAACCGTTAGACTGTGAGCTGTGAAAGTGAAAGTGACTCTCCAGTGGTTTCTCGTCCCTCTTTTCCTTCCTCAGAGGGGGAAAACAAATACAGTGGGTGCTGTAGGCTTGTAATAACCTTGACAGGATCTCACAGCATTAAAGAGCTCATATCCTACATTTTCTTGAGGTCAACTTAGTGTTTGTGTGGGTTTTTGTACAAGAACTGTCGCAATTAATTTTTTCATGACCATTGTCCAAGCTCTTTTATCCCTCAGAATTAAACAGGCTGCTCTCGACACTGTGCCTTAAATACTGGTATACGTAAATGAGCTCTGGTCACACAGCAGGTTGAAACACTACTTAAAACTTCATCGTGAGTGGGCAGAGATGAACTTCTGTGGGCTGAATAGGTGGATCATACACCTCCTGGCCTCTACACTCACTGTCCATTTTATCAGCTCAGCTTATATATAGGGGCACTTTGTGGTTCTACAATTACAATTACCTAATAATAATAATGCCTTTGTAGAGCACTTTTCATACCAATGACAGTTCACAGGAATAAATAAAACTATGAGTATTGATTTAAAATCATATCATAAAATGACACAGATCAAATTAAACAGATAAACACCATGAGGTGTAGAGTTTTAATGAAGTGCTGAGTTAAAGAGCTGCGTTTTCAAATGTTTATTAAAAGTGAGCTCTAAGCTCGACTGTCTAATCAAAGGTGAATCAGAATAACTTAAGAGTCTCTCCATGTTTCCTGTGTTTTACTGAAGATCGGTATCTGCAGATCTAAGATCATGATCAGACAGACACTCAGGAGCTTTAAGGTCATTTAGAGCTTTAAAAACCAGCAGCAGAGCTTTAAAATCTCTCTAAACGATCCAGGCGGTCATTGCAGTGTGTAACAAATTCGCTTGAAAACAAAGGTAGGTTTGAAATCGGTCTAAAATTATTTAGTATGGAAGGATCCATGCTACTCTTTTTTAGCAGAGGCTTCACCAGGGCAGTTTTGAAAGCATCTGGAAAAACAGCTGTTGACAGAGAACAATTTACAATAGTTAAAACATCATTGTGGACACATCAAAAACCATCTTAAGGAATGAAGTAGAAACAGGATCAAGATCACTTGTGGACAAACTTTGCTTGTTTACAACAGTTGTGAGCTCCTGATAACTGAAAACAGAGAAAGATTTCATTGTCACTGATGTAGGTGACTCATCAGGAACATAATAGGAGCCTGTTTCAGGTGGCTGAGCTATTCTCTGTCTAATCAGGTCTAATTTATTTTGAAAATAAATTGCGAACTCTTCACAAATTTTAGAAGATAAATCACCAGGAGATGCACAGAAAAGATGGGGTTAATTAGTTGACCTACGGTGACAAAAAGGACTTTGGAATTATTTTATGTTTATTAATCACACTACAGAGCTATGACTGTCTGGATATTTTCATAACATTATTATAGACTGAGATCTGCTCTTTAAGAAAATCATAACGTACCTGCAGTTTAGTTTTCCTCCATAAGCGCTCTGATTTACGACAATTTCTCTTAAGCTGGCATATTTCCGCATTCATCCATGGATTTTTAGGAGTATACAAGTTTTTCTTCTGTTTGACTGGAGCGAGAATGTCAAGAGATTGAGTCAATGTAACATTTTTTTTAAGTAACTTTCAGGCACTTTCTTCTTTACTTCTATCTTGACTTGTAGGAGATACAGAAATGATCAAATATGAAAACATTAGAGACAAGAGACATGTTTGTCTTTAAACCTTTAGGGATCAAAGTCACTATTATAAATACATGCTGCTGCTCCTCACTTTACTGTTTGCAGAAATCTGTAGTTTTCAGGAGCAGCTTAGAGTTGCTGTGTCATTTTTTTCACTACGCCACGTTTCTGTTACAAACATGAAATCAAGCAAATTCTTTTTAATAAGATCCTGAATCAGAAGTGTTTTTTTTATTTAGTGACCTTACATTAAGGACAGCAAGGTTTAGTTTGTTGTTCACTAGGCTTTGTGTTTGGGGGGACCAGTTTAAGCATCTTTCTCTCTTCACAACTAGCAGAGGCTTCAGTATTATGACAGCAGAGAAAGAGGGGAAGGCTAGAAATTTAGGAGGCATTGTATATACCATTAAAAACACTTACCTGTCTGCTGTTGATACTACTTACCCATCGATAGTTTATCGCCAGTACATCCAAATACGCCTAGTACCTTCTCTATGTTCTTAGACAAGGTGACAAGACCACAGCAGCTTGGGTGTAATGTGTCCATGTCATAAAAGGCCAGTCGCTCCCAGAAAGTGCTTCAGTTGCTCACATAGCCAACGCTGTTGTTACAGCATCAGCCTTCGACCTGACCTGTGAGCGTGCTGAACACCTTGCTTCCTCGTGTAAGATGGGCAGAAGTCCTAAGATTGTGATCCTGATATTGGTCCTCTTCTTAATGGTTCTTCTTAATGATGAGATGTCAGGGTAACAAAGTATCAGAGAAACAGATGGACTACAGTCTGTAACTGTAGATCTACAAAGTGCACCTATATAGTAAGTGGAGCTGATAAAATGGACAATGAGAGTAGATATAGTGGAGATGGTTTTCATGATTTGGCTGGTCATTGTATAGGTATATAGGGGTGCTTGGGGCTCGTCTTGGAAAAGGCGCATCTTTTATTTATTTTTTTTTTGCTTTTTTTATTATTAGTAAAAATAACTTGGAATATATGCAGAACATAGTAAAAAATAACAGTTTTAGCCACAGCATCCCTACAAGTGCATTATGTGTCTGAGAAACCTGCAAGTGGTCTTGTCTGTGTTTACACTGATCTCCTGTTAGTCAAAACAGCTTTTGTTGATCTAATAGGTCTAAAAGTTTTTTTTTTTATTGTTGTTGATTTTTTAAAGGAGACTTAAATGAAAAGGTTAACCTAAAATTTCAAGCTGACCTACAGTGTAGATCAGGGATGTCAAACACAACCACAACAAGGGCCATATTAAAACATCTCAACAAATCTGTGGGCCAGAGAACACTTTAATTTTTTATTTCATTTTAAAATAATGTTTGGCTCTAACCTGAACAGGCCATTGTTTATTCAAAATGTGCCAAATAGCAACAGCAAAATGTAGACACTTAGAGTAGACTTTTTGAGTAGAACTTTACATAAATATTTGAAATATTCAAGAGTAGATTTTTTTATTTTTTTTACACCAAACCCATCGTGAGTGTTTGGTGCCAAAAAGCTCTGTCTCATCTGATTATTGAACCCATTTCCAGTTAGAGTTCCAGTTGCAGCTGGGGAACTCCTGAGTTCCTGCAGAGTTCAATTCTGAGGTGGCCTTAAAAAGTTTGTTCACAAGTATTTCTAAGGGTGCCAATAATAGAAATTGAGCTAATTAACAACACACGTTTTTTCATGACCTTCTTTATCCACCTTTACCAAGGGTGCCAATAATTATTAGAGCTCCTTTTGTATGTGGTTTACCAGTGCTATGCTTCATTGGTGCAAAGATGTTTAGATCAAAAAAACACCTGAGGGTCAGATTATATTTTTCTCATTACATTTAAGTTCAGATCATTGATCATCATCTCCTGGAGCTGAAGCTGCAGTCATGAGCGTCTGTCCACGTTCTCTCCTCCTGAGTCTGCTGATCACCCTCTACCTTCAGTCCTGTGTGGTGGCAAACAGTAAGTTCATCCTCAAGTTTTTGGCTCTTTCATACTGCAGAGTGGTATATGAAGAGGCTGGAGTCCAGCACCTAGGTGGCTGGCTATGGCTTTAGCTGAGCTCTGCATATAAGCTCACACTGCAGGTATAAGTGGTCCGAATCTGATCATTTACTTCATATGTGACACAGATGTACAGTTTTTCATGTGTGACAGTGTGATCTTTAGCTAGATCTTCAGCTGCTCCACTATACGCTATTAGTGGATTATTATTAGAGGATAGAGATATTGTATGATGTGATCGACTGATATCGATGAAGACAGAGTCTTCTTGAATTGAATTTCGTTTGAGCATCTGACAGATAGTTGCTGAGCATGTAACTCTCATAGTTGCCGAATTGTTCCTGAAAATTCATGTTTACCAGCAATAAACATAATGTTTATGATGCTATAGAAAGTTATTTGAGGTTGGTTTGGCATTGTGGAGAGATTATGGGCACTGCTGTTGCGAGTAACAAGTAAATTTTAAGTCTTCACACTCAAGTCCTGAGTCAGTAGTCCTAATCTTCGAGGCCTAAACAAGTCAGTCTGCATTCCTCAGCTAATTTAAGGTCATAACACTGAATAACAGCACTGTAGCCTTTTAATGACAGCATGTTAGTAGTGTGCGGCTGTATATTTTTTATATATATACATATATATATATATATATATACACATATATATGTATGTGTGTGTGTGTGTATATATATATATATATATATATATATATATATATATATTTATATGTCTGTGTGTGTGTGTGTGTGTGTGTCTTTTACTCTTCCAACTAAAATACAAAATCCATGGTACACAGATATCCATGACAGGCATACTGTATACGCAAAGAGTTTACATATGAAAAAAAAATTAAAAGTACCACTGGGGTGGTTGCTTCAAGGGTTCATCTCAGTGCCTTTATTCAGGGAACATAACTGAACCATAATCCACTGAAATGATATGTTCTAAGCTGTACTGACTCCACACACCCCGTCTCGTCTCCAGGCTTTTATTTTACTGTTCTGTTTTAAAACATTCGGTCATGAAAAGGTACAAACACAAACTTTTAAACTTGTGAAAACTGTTGTACCTTTGAGGGAACATTTACATTGTTTGTACTTTGATGAACAAAAAATGTACCTGCACAGAACCCTTATTTGTAACAGTGTATGGAATTGTTCATCATTTACTGAATCCTTCCTTACTGAATCACTACAGGACAACATTTTGTGCACACAACTGTTGGATGGCATCTCTCACTCAGCCTACATGCACATCTAGCCGACAATGCTTTGGCGCTTCTTACAACCAGATGTTATTGCTAATGTGTGAGTAGCTACAGCTGCTTACACATTAGCAAGAAATGTGGGTTAGGGAGGTGGGATCCATAATAGAGAATGAAATCTGTTTACTGTTTCTGTACCAAATACATTGAGTAGACACTGACAGACTGTTATGTTTTAATTTTTTGATCAAATTATTGCTAGGGACAATTCAGTAGTCACTGGATATTGGTAGGGACATGTCCCTGCCATCCCTACCCAATTCTACGCCCTTGTTTTTTAATCATAAAACATAATTTTCTGTGAATTTGAGGGGAGCCTTTGTAAAAACAACAAACACTTTTATTTTTTTTTTCATGTGGTTACTGAATAATTTGCCTGAAGATTTGAGCATGTAAGTTCAGGCAGCAAATCCAAAACATACCCAGGAGTATAAGAGGTGAATTAGTATATATACACAGTAAGCCTATAATTGATAATAATAATTATTAATATTTTTCACACAGATGGAAAATCTCCAGAGGAATGTTGTTCTAATTTCTTCATCAAACCGATCCCAGTAAGATCCATCGTGTCCTATGAAGAAACAAGGACTGACTGTCCAAAAGGTGCAGTTGTGTAGGTCTTCACCCTCTTCTGCTCTATTAATATTCATTTTTGAGATGAGAGGATTATGTTTATTTTATAACTTAGACTTTTGTCTCATCTGCAGTTTTATCAACAAGAAAAAGGCTCGTTTGTGTGTGGACCCCGGCTTCAAGTGGGTGAGGCGAGCCATAGACCAGATTGATATTAGAAACGTAGAAGGTTCCACCGGTGTTTAAACCTGTCTGTTTTAATGTGAAATCAGCGTATGGTTTCTTTATGGAATGCACTTTTCATCTCCTTATTACAGCAGCGCTAGGATGGTCTCTGCCTGGACCAGAGAATAAAGCTTTTTCTTATAAATTACCTTTAAACAGAAAGCTCACGTGACTGCTCCTTTTATTACTGTGACTGCAAATCTTTTGTTAAATAAAAATACTTTTGAAGAAAACAATGTTTTGATGGATTCCAGAAGATCAGGTACATTGCGAGAGGGATTACTGTTTTTTTTAGGAGAAAGGTTGGGCATGTTAAACAATAGGATAATGCATTTATACTACAGGACGATGGATTAATACAATATGTTAACACATTAGCACTATAGGATAATGCATTTGTATTGTTAGAAATCCGGCAGGAAGAGTCCGGAGCTTCAGATTCAGATTCAGATGAGTTTTATTTACATGCATGCAGAGAATCATGCATGGGCACAGCTTGGTCATCAGTCTATCAGCAGTCTAACAAGAATATTTTGGAAGGACCTTATATACATTTTAAATGTATACAGGGTGGGAGAGGAAGGAGGAAGAAAAGGAGTTAGAGGAGGGCTAAGGAGGGGGATGTAGAAGGTGAATATGAGATGAAATGTAGGGGTAGAAATAAGGGGGTGATTGTTATCACCTTGAGGTTATGAGACAAAGGGTCAGCTCAGTACAAACAAAGGAGTGAACTGACAAGGTTAGAGTGTTATCACCTTTCACCTTATCCACTGATGCTTTGACGTAGATTTACAATTGGCATGTTGCCGTTTAACCTTGGTCAGTGATTGCTTAGGTTTTTTACATGTTCTCTGGGCATTCATGGCAGCTGTTATATGCTTTGTACATTTATTGGCTAGCTCAGGAATCTTTCTCTCAGCTTCCTCTAGCTTACCCTCCATTTATCTAAGCTTATACTTCCAGTACTGCTTAATTACATAAGACATTCCTTAGCTAAGTCATGCTTGATACCATAACCCAAAGCTGTTTTACATTCCACAAGAGTCCATTCTCTATCAGCAGAAAATAAAAAGTACTGAGTTGTCTTTTGCTCATGAATGTGTTTGTTTATTATATCCATTATCTTTTCAAATGCAAATTCAGTCCATTCAGGCATTTCAGTTCCTCCCTTAACTAGTGTACCCTTTCTGATGTTAAGAGGTTTCCAAGAGTCTTTCTCAAGATTCTGTAGTTTTTGGCCTGTACTAGTCATGGTGAGGAAACAAGAGAACAAGCTAAGGCAAAAACACAACTAATTTTCCCTCACTGCCTGAGAGGATAACCCTACCAGCCTTCACGCTACAGGGTTTCCCTCACTACCTGAGAGGATGAGTAACAAAACCACTGGTCTTCCCAAATACCAGTCTTCCCTTGCTACCTGAGAGGATAACAGTTATAAAACCAATGGTCTTCCCAAGTGCACTATATGATACTGCATTAATACAATAGGATAGTGCAATTATACAACAGGATAATGTATTTACGGATCACGTGACCGATTTTCCTGAATGGCAGCTCGTGTCTAGAGCTCTTGCATTCCTTCCCTCTTTTTGGTTTAGTCGGTTTTAATTTCACTACCCTGGTACCTTTTGTTATAAAAGATTGTCTGAGATGTCGAGCACAAAAGGGAGAGCGATTTCTATGCCGGTGTCTTCTCCAATTAAGAAAAGATCTAAGCAGTTTGACTCACCCGAGATGGCTAAGATGGCGGATCTCTTGGCTGATTCCATGGAAAAACAAGCTAGCTTTCTCCAGTCGCAGTTGGAAGCGATGTGTGCGGACTTCAGGGTTCTGTCATCTGCAATCCAAGATGACCTTTCAACACAGATGAAGTCAGTCCTCACGATGATTTCGAAAGTTGACAAAGTAGTTGGCGAACAACGCAAGCAGGAGAAAATTCTATGACTCAGCTGGAGTCTGCTGAAAGTAAGCTAGCTGAACTCGAGGACCGCTCACGCTGTAATAACGTGCGGCTGGTAGGTCTCCCGAAGGGCTTCAAAGGCGACATCCAAAAGGCGATCAAAGAGTGGTTCCCTTCCCTTGCTGATAAAGAGATGGAGATTGAGAGAGCCCACCGAATCTACAAGAAATCATCAGATGGTCAGAACTCGCCGCGGGTGATCATCTTCAAATTTCTGCGGTATCAGGAAAGGCAACAACTGCTGAAGGCTTACAGGGAGCGCAGCCCTGTTGTGTGTTCAGGCTCCAGGCTACGTTTCTTCGTTGAGTGCAGCGCTGCCACTATTAAGAAAAGGATGGCTTTTCTTTCAATTCAGAAAACATTGAGAGCAGCTGGTATAGAGAACTTTCTGCTATATCCAGCTCTGCTAAAAGTCAACGTGTCAGGTACTGTCCATCATTTCTCTTCTCCTTCAGAAGCGGAGGGTCTGCTCTCCTCTTTAGCCAAGCCGAATGAGAACACCATGGAAGCACAGATTCAGTGTTGATTGCTTGCTTACTTTAAACTTTCCTGCATGCATAAGTCAAACTCTGTTGACGTTATGGCATCTAAAGTAAGCTTAACTTGGGTGTATTAGCAGTGTTTATGTTCTTTGTACATGCACATTTTTTATTTAATTTTTTTTTTCTTTCTCTCTCTTTTGACTAATCTATCCTTTGAATATAACAATACTTGATACAGGCTCAGACACATCTGGATGAACTGCACATCTTGAAGCAAATATCATGGGGAAAAAATTCACATTTGTATCAGTGGCTATCAATTATGGCTCAGTTACAGATCTACGAATTCTGTGGCAAGCAATTAAGGGATACATTAGGGGGAAATCCACTCTTTTCGCCTCACAACTAAACAAAACTAAACTAAAGGAAATTACAGTCCTAGAAAACAAAGTTGCCTCTCTTGTTCTTTCACTACAGACATCCTTTAATGAAACTGTTGCAGCTGAGCTTGAATTAGTTAAAGGGGAACTTAATTCTCTTCTTAGAGGGCGTTCTGAATTTCTCATGCAGAGTTAGACAATATTATTATTTTCCTAGTAGTTGCCCTAGCCATATGTTGGCCCTTAAATTGTGCAACAGTGAACATTTTTTTCTGACATCCCTTTTATAAAATCACACCAAGGTACTTTGGTTACAGATCTGGCTAGATTAATTCTATATTTCAGATCTGGCTAGATTAATTCTATATTTCAGCAGTTTTATGCAGAGTTATACCAATCTGAATCACAAATGGAATATAATGATCACATGAGTTACCTGAGGACTCTAAATTTACCATGTCTTTCTAAAGAAGCAGATATGCTCGGCCAGCCAGTAACATTAAATTAACTCAAATTAACTCAAAAAAGCTCTACAAGCAATGAAGAAAGGAAAAGCTCCAGGCATGGATGGTATACCCCCAGAATTTTATTTGACATTCTTTTCCCAACTAGGTCCACCTCTGTTAGACACGATAAATAATAGGTTCTTCCAGAGGGATGCAAATACAGCAATAATTTCTCTTCCTCTTAAACCACAAAAAGACCCAACCTCCTGCTGCAGTTATCGCCCCCTGTCTCTGATTGGATCAGCTGTTAAATAATTTGCTAAAGTCCTTGCAACACACCTTGACACATATATGACTAAATTAGTTCATCATGATCAGACAGGGTTCATTAAAAATCGACTTGTCTCTGACAATGTTCGTCAGCTGCTTCATATCCTTGATTTTGCACCTGATATACTTACTCCGTGTGCTGCTGTTTCTTTAGATGCAGAGAAAGCATTCGACAAACTTGAGTGGGGCTTTTTATGGGCTGTACTGGACATAATCGGTGCTTCATTTTGTTGCTATGTCTTTTGTTGCTTACTGTACTTTGTGTTACATTGGAGCACTAACTTAAAAATAAAACATTTGATTGAAAAATAGGTTATAGGTCATTATAGGTTAATGCATTTATACATAGGACGATGCATTTACACTGTGGGATAACGCTTTAATACAATAGGATAATGCAATTATACAACAGGATAATGCATTTACACTATAGGTTAATGCATTTACATATAGGATGATGTTCCAAGGTGGCAACAATAAGCTTGAATTGGAAGAGCTTTTCTTTCTAAACAGAAAAAATAAGGACTTTTCTCTCTCTGCTGTTCTGTGCATCACTGAGTCTTGGCTCACTGAGTCAACCCCGGACAGCGAGCTCCAGCTCCACGGAGCTCTCAGACAAGAAGAAAGGAGGTGAATTGTGCTTTTATATTAACCAAGGCTGGTGTACAGACATCACTGTGTTAATGAAAACATGCAATCCTAACCTGGAATCACTTTTTATAAACTGTAAACCTTTTTACTTTCCCTGGAATTCTCCTCTGTTGTTCTCGCATGAGTCTACATTCCACCCCAGGCATGCATGCATGAGGCGCTGTGCACTCTGGCAGATGAGATCACCAGCTCAAACACACAGACCCTGTTTTTATCATTTTAGGGGACTTCAACAGATCGCAACACACCAGCGAACTGCCTAAATACCGACAGCATGTTACCTGCCCCGCCAGAGAGAGTAATATTTTAGATCACTGCTACACTGTGGGGCCTATCGCTCTGTTCCCCGTGCTGCTCTGGGCCTCTCTGATCACTCGCTAATCCACCTCCTTCCAACTTATAGGCAGAGGCCCAAGTGTGCGAAACCTGCAGTCAGTACTGTGAAGAGGTGGATCACAGAGGCTAAAGAAAGGCTTCAGGACTGCATGGAATTAACAGATTGGAGTGTGTTTGAGGATGCTACAGGCAGCCTGGATGAACATGCAGATACTGTGACACCCTATATCAGCTTTTGTATGGACACCTGTGTTCCCACCAGGACTTCCTCAGGGGGATCATGTGACCTTCAGCCCTCTAAATAAACATTCATTTTGTGTTAAACTTCTAAAGATATTGAGCTTTTTTATTGTATAAACTCCCATAAAGCTCCCAGAGTTCATACAGCTGTTGGTCGGCGCATCTAATGCCTTTGCTGATCCAACTCCTGTAATGCTCAGTGGGCCTGACGCTGCAGCTGGTCTAGCAAGAATCCAGCTAAAACAGTCTTGTAGCCCTTTCCTGATGCTTATGTCTTTTAGCTAGGCTCCTGAAAGTGACCATTAGATAGACTAGCCAATAGCTGTAGTAATCACTGTTATAACATCTTGTAAAGTTGTTGTTTTAGCTGTGAAAAGGACTGCGCTCTGTGCGCTCTACTGTGTCTCTACTGTGTGACGTAGACTGTGTTGAGCTGGTTTGAGAACCACAAGTTCTAAAAGCTGAGTTGTGGTTTAAATAAGTTAAGCAGTCTAATAATGGATATGTGAGCATGTGTGTGTCAAACTGATGATCTCACTCCAGGTTCACTGCAGTGACAGGAAAATATTTTGTTAGTCACCTCACCAACGCTGGCAACTTTGTTATGCTGTCATCACCTTTTATATTGCATGCATTAAATCTTCATCTTCGCTCGTTTCTATAGCCCAGGGCCACACAGTGGATTAATCTGGCCCTGTGAATGGCAAACTGTTCATGTAAGGACTATGTCCAGAAATCTTTGGCTTGAGGTAGGTATCAGCCATGTCTTCACATGGACCTGCCCTTGATTACCAGTGCTTTCCAGTGAACAATAGCTGGAGTTAATCAACGTTATATTATAATACTACTGATTCCTTAAATATGTATTAGGTCTATATAGCACTGATAAGGATATATTACATTACTAGATATTACCACTACCACCCCAAACCCCCCAAGTTGGTTGAACCTTCCACCCCTTTAGATTTTTTTTTTCTCCAGTTCATCCACTGGTTGCTGATCTATGCATTAATTTGGTGGTGCTGGTATACAGATACAGTGGTTAGTCATATCAGATGTCTTTTTAAACACAGTATGCACAATATCACAGGTCATTTTGATCAAAATGCTTTGGCTTTTAGGATGTACAGAATTATGGTGTCTGAAATAAAGCTGTAGATTTTTATTTATTGTGTGGTCTGTGTTTTGGTCTTGTCCAGTTCTCGGTAATGACTCATGCTCTTCATCTGTGCACAGTTAGCTTCGCTTTAGGTGTTAACCACAGGTGTGTTTCTGGAAGAAGCAGGGCTCTCTTTTTTTAGTGTTTAAGATACATCCTAACCACCACCCCCAACCTCCCATCTGCTAATAAAACCAAGGGCAAGATGAAATCACCTCATTACAGGCTGTTCAGATCACTGACGATCATCTCCTGGATCTGAAGCTGCAGTCATGAGCGTCTGTCCTCGTTCTCTCCTCTTGGCTCTGCTGATCATCCTCTACCTTCAGTCCTGCACAGTGGGACAGCGTAAGTTAACGTTCATTCTTGGGTTTTTGCCTTTTTCATGCTGCTTACATGTTTATGGGAATTAATGCCTTTATTGTAATAAAATAAATTACATGTTTATTTACTTCTCAACGAACTCACTAACTAATTAAGTAGAAAGTTGGCACGTTTTTTTCTGCCTTTACATTGTTGAATAAATATGTAGGTTATCTGGCTACGCTACTGTGGGAAAATGTGGATTCTCATGGATTGGTTAGCTAAAACACAGCAATGTGGTAGGATAATAAACTTCTATTGAGTTATTATTAATGACAAACTACTCACTGACCAACACATTACATATTCATATAAACTATAAGAGTGATTTATTTTTGTTCTGGCCAAAAATGACACTCAGACTGTAGTGCATGTGTGTGTGTGTGTGTGTGTGTGTGTGTGTGTGTGGATGAACTAACAGACTGTAACACTGCAGCTTTATTCACAGCATTAATAAGAAGAGTAAAGTTAAAGATGATCTCACCTGCTGTAGCATCATTACACTCACTAACACTGTCATCTACAGATCACTTCACTACATCACCTCTTCACTCTTTACTACATCCTTCTTCATTTTATTATTCTAATTTTCTCACAGATGGAAAAGCACCAAAGGAATGCTGTTTCAGTTTCTATACCAGACCAATCCCTGTAGCTTTCATTAGTAAGTACGAAGAAATGAGAGCCAACTGTACAAGACCTGGAGTGATGTAAGTTTTGACCCCTGTCTTTTATTAATACTCTATCAGTAAAATGATATTCAGGTTAAAGTAATTGTTGTAATTCAAGTAGCCATACTGCATCCTTTAAAGTTGCACTTTAATTTTGAATATTTCAGCCACCAAGATTTATCTGTCAGATGTAGAAGTCTAACAGCTGAGCAAACCACAGTAAAACACTGACACAAATGTTTTGTTGATTGCAGTTTGACCACTAAGAAGGGTGTTCGTGTCTGTGTGAACCCCAGTCTTAAGTGGGTGCAGCAGCTTATGTACACGATTGATCATGGAGTTTTGGAAGATTCCGGTGAGCTCCATGAGCATGAAGTTAAAACCAAAACCCGGCCTGTATCTGGAACCTCGAGACCAGATCCAGCAACAGATGCACAGAACCATGAACATGAAACCCAAAGCCGTCCTGTACCTGAGACCCTCAGGCCTGACTCAAATGAGCCCAAATTGTTCTGTCTAATTTGAAAACCATTTTCAAAATCAATCGTGTTTTTTCCATTTTTTAAGATGTTTTTTTAAATAATGGTACTGTTATTGATCGGCTAAGTATTGGTATTGGCTGATTTTCAGCCCAAGTAGGTAATTTTTTCCCCATGTTGCATTATCCTAATATTTTATCCTAATGCTGTTTGCTATCCGGTGTTGACCAGAGGAGGATGGGTTCCCTTTTTGAGTCTTGGTTCCTCTCAAGGTTTCTTCCTGTTGCTCTTAGGGAGTTTTTCCTTGCTACTGTCTAAAGGACTAAATGCCATTTCACACAGAGTCTGATTTTTTTAGGATGAAAAAACATGTCAAGATTTGAAAATAAACACATGTACGGCGTCTTTCACACTGAGTCCGACACTGATGGACTGCAACGCCGTGTAAATTTTAATCAGAGGCTGCTCAATTTTCTGTGTTATACTGATGAGTTAAAATCAGGCTCCATTGTCATGGTTGCAGCCATCAGGATGGCAGCAGAATTCTTGTAGCAGAGAACAAAAGCTTATATGACAAGCAAACACTGACAAACGCAGAGGTTAAAGACAATATATGGCGGACAAGAACTGAAAGGCTGTGAATGACAACATGTACATAAAAACAACTGTATATAACCAGAATTCATTTGCCCCTTTTTAATGAGAAGAGCAGCAAGCAGAAGCAGAGCTCTGAATACCCCCACTGAGGAAACACCTGCAGAATCATTCATCATGTAGCTTCAGGTCGTGTAAGAGGTTCTTTTATTTTTGTAGAATGGGATGCACCCTGTGCACCATTTAGTTGCTTTGCTTAAAAGAAAAAGTATTTAGACTTTGTCTGAAGGTCCCACTACTTTAAAATCGCATCCTTTTTTCGTCTGAAAAAAATTGTACTTGGTGTGAATAGGCTTTAACAGTCTAGCCCCGCCCTCGATCAATATTGGCCAATCGTGCTGAAAGGCGATCAGTATTGGCCCCAAAAACACTGATTGGCCCATCTCTTCTGTCGTACCTTTAAAAGCAGGAAAAAACTGTTGTTTTACAGTCTAAGGGATTATTTGAATTTATAGAGTAATGTAGTGAAGAGCATAACGCTGTTGTCGGAAGAACACTTTGTTTCTCCATTTTTGATGTTTTTCAGCTTTTGACATAATTTGAAAATGCATGTTGTCCTTTACATTGTATGTAAAGTTCATGATGGACCAAACAAAATGACCCAAAATGACTTGGAATTATGCCTGGTTCCATTGACTTAGATTAAAAGTAAAGTAGGTTTTTTCCTTCTCCTGTAAAGTTACTATTTTGGAGATACAAGGTTTTCTTCCTACAACAGCGATTTATTCTTCTTCCATTGCGATTAGTAATGAACTTCATAAATGTATCCCCTGCAGGAACTAACATGTTTCTCCTGTCCTGGTTCTGGATGTCCTGCCCTACTGAACTAGTACTGAACCTACACACCATGTTCTATATCTAGCACTCTGCTCAGATTTCTTTTTAAATTCTGGTTCTTCTTCATGCTTTTAGAGCATTTCTCCTTTTGATTCTTAGCTCCTGTAAGTGGTTCTTCTTCATGGTCCTGACACTGTCTCCCTCTGTGTTGCTTATTAGGGAGCAACACCCACATTTCTGGAAAGCTGCTTTGGGACTATGGCTGTTCTTGAAAGAGCTGTGTAAATTCAATTTAATTGAACATGCAAACGTTATTTCTTTTAGCTCATAGTGTCACGTGAGCCAACATATTTTTGAGGTGGTTGTACCTGCCAGTAATTACTATTCTGTAAAAAGCTGTACTTTATTTCCATATGAGATAATAAACAGGAGTTTAAAGCGACTTGACTGCAAATATTAAAATCTTGGTAACGTTTTCTAATAAGAGGTGACTGATTAATATTAAGCAATGCATTTTTCAACTTGAATGACAAGAGGTAGTTCATTATTAATGGTTGGCTAATATTAAGGAAACAAATAAAAAAATGCATTAATTGAAATTTTTGAGATGACCATCTGGGGCTTTTGGTTTGCTTTGCCCTGAGTTTGTTGCAGGTGAATTTGGGAGGTGGAGCATGGACCTGATGGTCTCTCTCTTCTGCAGATAGTATTTTCAGGCCACGTTGGGGTTAATGCTGTCAGGGATTCAGCGAGTTTGGTTTGCTGGAGTGGGCTTTAACCACCTAGTGGTTAACTTTCTTTAATAGTGCTATCTCTGTGGTTTGAAAACCATTTTTTAATAACTTAATGTGAAAATAAAGAGAAGGCTTTCTACAAATTCCACTCGTTGTCTCCCTCAATTGTTTGCGATGAACTGGTTGAAAAGTGGTCTGTAACAATGGGGGAGCTCAACCATTAACAACTTCCTTGTTTGTATTTGCCTTGTGTTTTTTGGCTGTTTTTTTTCCTGGCTGGCTCGTATCCCTGTCGAGTTTCTCTGTGTTTTTGAGGGGGGAGAGTTATGTTAGGTAATGTTATATTTGAAAATGCTCCCTGTTAGCATTACACTAGTATTCCTTTTCTTTTGGTGCCAGTTTGCTTGTTTTGTTTTGTGTTGGAAGCCTTTTTTAGGCACAGCAGCATGCCTATTTGGTCACATCGATCGTTTTTTGTTTTAGTTTGTTATTTTTGAATGGTGACCGTGGCTGGAGCAGTTGTCTCAGGGGCTGTAATGTGCCAAAATGATTCAGACGTTCGCGGATGAAAAAGAGAAAAAGGCTTTACTTGTACAATCATGATCTAAAATCGTGGTCAAACAACAGGCAGAGGTCAATTCCAAAAATGACAGAAAGTACAAAAAACAACCAGGCAAACAGAGCCCAAAGGGCAAAGGCAAAAAGGGCAAAGTCCAAAACACAGAAGAGTAGTCAGAATCCAGAAATAACAATAACCACAGTGACGCTCAGTAACTCTCGGAAGAAGAAATACCTCACAAAGAACTACACTAAAAGCCTGGGCTTTATACAACTCTAACTAGGCAAACAAAGACAGGAACAGGTGGAACAGATTAGTATTCAGGTGAAGCTGAATGGTGGTTGGAGCAGGGTGGAAGGTTAGGAGTCACATGATCTCCCAGAGGATTCTAGGAGATGGAGTCCGTGGAGGTGTCAGGGCTGGAGGGATGCGTGACAATGGCACATCTGAGGAGCTGGGAATTGCCTGTTATTGGGTTTTTCCTGGTGCTTACAGGCTTCAGTACTCTAAATAGGTTAAGTTAAAAGATTAGGGTTTCTTAATAGAGTCAGGTGGGGAGGGGCTCTTCCACACTTGTTTGGTATGAGGTCCTGTTTGTGTCTGCATGAAGACTGAGGTTTTGATTGCCTTATGGTTTGGTGAGTGTTTTTAGATTTCCCATATTTTTGAATTCTGATTCGGCTTGATTATCCCCATTTTAGCCGTGGCTTCAGAAGCTGAGGGTTTTCTCCAGGGTCTTCGCAGCCATGCTTGATTCATTTTCTAAAGAGCAGTTGCTAGAGGTAGCTAAACATTTTAAAATTGAGTGAAGCACCACAGATAAATGCCTGAAATAAAGTATCAAAGTTATTATTAAATTGGCGTTAGTTGATTTGAAAGTCTTGCCATCAGAAGAAGCTCCACCTACTACTGCATTAAATCTTACAGCCTCGCCTAAACTGTCTAGTGGCAGGAGTGATTTTCCTTTTGAACAACAAAGGGAGCTCCTTCTCTTACAATTAGAAAAACAAAAGCTAGAGCAGGAATCTGAAAGGACTGGACAGAATTTTGAGGTTTGAACTTCATTAAGGAGGGTAAGCTGGTGGAAGGTTCTCTGCAAGATGGTTATGGTTATGTGTTCACCACAAGGGGGCGTTCCTGATTCAAATTTTATTGTTGGTATTGATTGATTCCTCTATCAGGATTTAGGGTAGAAGACAGTCTAAAATATGCAATGGTTAAAGCAGCGGTATTAAAAGCTTATGTACTGGTTCCAAAAGCCTTTTGTCAGCATTTTTCGAGGACTGCATAAATCTACCAATGTGGGCTGGAAACTCAGCTGGAAACAGTTATCAGAATCCTTATCTTTATTTGCCAAGTACTAGATTTACAAGGAGTTTCTCTTGGTGCAGGTGTCGGCATAAAATTAAATCCAATAAAATAAATTCAGAAAAAAATATTACATATAAACAGGAAAAGCAAAAGGATGTGCAATGAGAGATTAGTATAGCTACAATCAAGTGCTGAGTTATATATACACAGTATGTACCGCTAAAGGAATTGAGCTGCAAATACAACCCCATTTCCAAAAAAAGTTCAAACACTGTGCAAAATGTAAATAAAAACAAAATGCAATGATGTGGAAAACATTTAACCCCTATATTTCATAGGAATAGTACAAAGACAACATATCAAATGTTGAAACTGAGAAATTGTATTGTTTTTTGAAAAATATTTGCCCATTTTGAATTTGATGCCAACAACGCATTCCAAAAAACTTGGGACGGGGGCAACAGAAGGTTGGTAAAGTTGTGTAATGATAAAAAAAACTCCTGGTGGTTAATGGGCAACAGGTCAACATGATTGGGTATAAAAGAGCCTGGAGATCTGCCGTCCTGAAGAGTTCAGATCCAACACACCTGGCTCATATAGTCAGATGCCCCTGAAGGCCTTGATTACCTTGATCAGGTGTGTTATTCCTTCCACAACAAAAAGGTTCACAACTAAACAGTGAAGATAGAGAGAGAGACACCATCTGCTGAGTCAGCAGATTTCTTTATCAGTTACAGTACTGGATCAGTGACTGAATATATATTTAAATGGCCATAAGCTGTGCTCACATTTAGGGCTGCAGGGATCACGGCAGCCCCGATTGTCCATTTAAGTCCAGTCTGAGAAATCTGGGACATTTAATCTTAAAAAATGAACATTAGAAAATAAAAAAGAAAAGATATTCATTTTGTGTTTACAGCTTTGGCTCTTACTTTTTTTTGTTGTTGCCCAGCGTCCAGGAGGAGAGACGCAGTGAAGACGGAGAACAGATTAAGATTGAAAGGGATAAAAGATAAAATTCATTTTACACAATACTACTACTACTACTACTAATAATAATAATAAGGACAGTTAAAAATAAGTTTTTATTCATAATTTGCTCATAAAAAAGTCTTGTGCTAATATTGTTTACTATTTAAAAACTTATCTTTCATTTTTATTAAGTCGTTTTTTCCCCACTGATTTTTATGATATAAAGTGTTGTCACCGGCCCTTTAAGGACCACAGGCTCCCCTCAGTAAAGGCCCAAGGACCACCAGTGGACGCTTCACGGCCCAGTTACGGTCCACAGCCCCAGAGCTGAGAAACCTTACATTAGAGCAGAGCTGAGAAACATGTGTATTAACACCTCATTCACTCTGAGACCAGTCCTCTGACTCAGGTCTGAGGATTGTCAGAACTGCACTTTTCTCTCAACGTCTTCTGACAGCATTCATGTTCATAGAAAACAAACCGTGATCTAGTTTCACACTTAAATACTGAACAACACAATCCACATGTTGTCCTTTAGGTATTGTGAAGATCAGTAATGTAAACATTACATTATCAGTGTATACAGAAATTGTTGTTGTGGGTGCAGTTGACAATTCTTTTCATCTAGGTGGCTCTTATGTTTATTATTTCTCTTCTGTTTTTGCCAGGATGGACTGGTGACCTGTCCAGGGTGTATCCTGCCTTCCGCCCAATGACAGCTGGGATAGGCTCCAGCACCCCACCGCAACCCAGAAGGATAAGCGGTTTAGATGATGTATGTATGTATGTTTTTGCCGAGATTAAACAGTAAAGGCCTGTTGGACACTTTGTGAAGGTAAGTTTTGTTCAGTATCCAACAAAAATATCACTTTCTAAAAGCCATCTGAGCTTTAATCCTCTCTGAAAGGGTTCTAGATACATTCAGCAGATGTGATCCAGTATCATAACATTCTTTATGGAAGGTTTTGTGCATTATTTTTTCATAAACTGTCACTGTTAGCAGAAATTGTTCATGATAAGAGTGACAGTTAATCACAAAAACTCTCAACTATATCTGTATGTTTATCTCTTTATTGTTATTTGTTGTTGTTTGTTGTTGTAAGTTCTGTAGCTGATTTATGATCCTGTTTATCTGTGTATTAGTGTGTTATATAACTCTGTGTGCAGTGTGAGGGTCTGGATCTGACTGTGTGGTGTTTGTTTAGAGACGTTTGAGAAGCTTCTGTTCAGTTCTGTCCATAAACCAGCTGATTTCACAGCATTTAAACATGTGATTGTGAGTCTGATACAGAAATTAAGTTATAATTATTGAACTGCTGTAAATAATGAACCGTTAGACTGTGAGCTGTGAAAGTGAAAGCGACTCCTCAGTGGTTTCTCGTCCCTCTTTTCCTTCCTCAGTGGAAAACAAGACGTGCTGTAGGCCTGTAATAACTTTGACAGGACTTTGCAGCATTAAAGGGCCCATATCCTACATTTTCCTTTCATTGCCTTTCATTCAAGTGCTCATTTGTGTGGGTTTTTATATGAAAATAGTCATTTGGACCATTTTTTCAGCCTCTCTTTATCCCTTACAACTAACCAGGCTGTTTTTGTTTCTGTGACCTCAAGACCAACATGTAAATGAGCTCTGTTCTGATTTGCTGCCCATTCAAAAAGCAGTTGAAGTATATTTAGAAAGGAACCTTTTTATAGAAGAAGGTTAGCTGCCTGACAGGTTTTTTCGCTCTCACACTCCAGAAAGCTGTTGCATTGCTAAGGTTATGCTATAGGAAGAAGGGTTATTTTGTTATAACTACAAATATGTAGGTGCTACTTTTTTGGGTTTTTCGAGACTTTGAGGAAGTCTTGAAGGGGGGAATGAAGTATATTTAGAAAGGAACCTTTTTATAGAAGAAGGTAAAAACACTCTTAACATTGAGTATAAGCTGATGTCTGAAGTTCCAAGTATCTAGGAGTTCCCTGTGTGCTCTGTTTGTGCAGGGGATAGGAATGTTTGAACCAGGGGGGGCCTCTGGGTCCATAGCCCCTCAATTTAAAGGTCCATAGGGAGTAGGCCTCTCACTTTCTCCCTTCTTCTTAGGTCCAAATAGATGAGATCATGTTAAAAAGAACCATATGCTCTGTCTCCTGTTTCAACAACAAGAACCATATATATATGCTGTTGGTCAGTCTGTTCGGGAGAGGACATTTAGAATTGGCACGGATCCTCTCTCAGGTGCTTTATAGTGCTTGATATGATGCTGTTTTACTATGTAATAAACCGTTTGCTAGCAACACAGTATCAGCGGAGTTTTTCTTCACAACATCTACACACCATCGCCACTAAATAAACAACATTATTTGGCGACGAGGATGGGATCGTGTTGTGGCTGGCTGCGTCGCCGACAGCCTCAGCGCACTAACTCCCGCTCCAGGCCGGCAATTCAGGTGAGCACTGGTTTTTTCGTGGAGGCTGTTGAGTGGCTGCTGTCTAGCTGCACCGTAAAGACTCATGTGTGTGTGAGCGATGCTGTGTGGATGTTTGGAGTACTTCTCCGTTCTAAATTTGGGGGGTTTATAGCGTTGTGCATGCCGCAATAAAAGGGGGGAGTATAATAGAGAAAAGGAAAGCTGATGTAAAAGTGTAGAATAGCCTAATTAGTAACGATAAAGTGAGCTAAATAACACCATGCGAGATTAATGAAGGTTGGGCCCTTATCTTCTTAACGGTAAGACATGTGTATATTGGTCACTGCGTGAAAGTTGGCTTAGGGAAATAGTCGGATCAGGTTAGAAAATAAAAAGGGAAAAAGAAGTGAAAAGTAACAGTCCAGGGCCCTGGGAAATTGGATTAAGGGGAAATTAGCTTACTGGGAAAAAGAAGAAAGAGAATAAAAGAGGAAAGAGGTAAAGAGAATAAGAGAAGTTAAAGAAAATAGAGAAGAAAAGTGAAGAGTTAAAAAGAATAGAAAAGTTAAGAGTTAAAGAGACATAAGTGAAGTTAAAGAGCATAGAGATGATATGAGTGAAAAGAGAAATAAGAAAAGGGAAGAGAATAGAGATGATATGAGTTAAAAGAGAAAAGGAGCCGCAGATTAGGACCAAAGCCCTCTGGGAGGCGGTGTTAGACGGGCCTAAAATCCTGGAAAATCACTAGGTGAATTTCTGGGTCAGTTCTAAGGAACTGGAGGTGTGGAAGGGAAAATTCAATTATAAAGTTCCCACTCGAACGCTAGTTGACGAACAGTGTCTGAAGCAGCTTTTTATTGAATATTCGCACCTCATAAAGGTAGCAAAAATTTAGAAGAAAAAGGGAAAGAAGGAGCGGCGGAAAAAGCATGCTATAGGATCAGTATGAATGAGTTGACTTTCAGATTGAGTGTTGTTCTTTGTCTTCTGTGTGTTCTGAGCTCGCTGTGTGTTTCTGTGTGAGGGGGAGTGGCCGCCCCTTACTGTGTGTGTGTGCGGACCTGGGGTTCTGTGAGTGTGAGTTGCTTGACTTGGCTGTGCTCCAGCTGCGTAAATGGCTTTAAGACTATATAAATGATAATTTTTAAAAAAACATATGAGCCTCTAAAGAGGATGTTTTTAGATTGTTAAAATATCATGAACTTTCCTGGGGGATGTTTTTAGATTTAAGATAAAGTTAAGATTTATGAGCCTCATAAAGAATAAGAGGACTTTTATAAATTAATTTAAAAACATTCATGAGCCCCCAAGAAGGACGTTTATAATTTGGAGAGGAGTGGAGAGACCAGTGAGGATGTTTGTGTGTATGGGTAAAGAAAAATTTAATAAGTATTATTAATAAGTATGTGAGGTGTTATTAGAGTGAAATAAACTGAAATTTCTATATTGATGATAACTGGGTATGTAAAGGAGTAAAACAGTTGTTATAGATAAATATGACCTAAGTGTTGGCAGATAAAGGGTGTGAATCATATGGGATTGCTTTTGTGGGGTTAAAAAATACCTAGTGAGTTTATTTGATATTTAATTCTGATTGGTTTCTATGTTTATACACCTATGGGGTGTGTAAGAAGAGGAGAAGGAGAGAGAGGGAGAGAAGAAAAGGTGATACAGACACCTGGTATGACATCTTTGAACTTTAAAGAAGGAGCAAATACAACTCAGAAACCTAAGCTAAAAATAGAGCTTAGTGTGAACAGTAGTGAGGAGATTTTTGAAACCTAGAGAACAGAAGGGGGAAGAGCATGATGCAGATTAATCTGTGACAGCTCAGAGGATTATTTTAGATGTGGAAGAGGGGTTTTTGACTTTGACTGGACACCAGAGGATGTGACTGACTAGTAGGGTGTATTACAGAAGAGAGAAACTAAGTGGAAGGCATATGGATTTGATTTCTAGGGGTTACAAATCGCAGACCCAAGGGCAGACAAAAACAATCCAAAAGGGTTGAGGCAAAAACGAGTGAGTCAAAATACAGATGAATAGTCAAAAAGGGGGAAAACACAACACAGGAAATAAAAGTTCAGTAGCTTTAGAAAGAAGCAATACTTTGCACTGAACTGTTCTAAAAGCCCAGGTTTATACTGAAGCTGGTGAGAGGTCACAGGTGTAATAGATCAGTACTCAGGAGTCATGTGATCTCCCAGAGGATTCTGGAAGATGGAGTCCAGGGAAACCTCTGAGCCATAGGGATGCATGACAATCAGTAGGGAAAAATGATAACAGTGATCCCTGATCTGTTGGAAGGAAACAAGGGGGGTTTGTGGTGATAAGGCATATATATGTCTACCGTATGGGTGGATAGGATGCTGTTATATGGCAATGTTGAAGCCCCCGTATGAGGTTTTTATTGTCCAGAAGGGAAAAGTTTCTGATGAGGTTCAATCAGAGGCTATTTCTGGAAGTAGGAAGAAAAGGGAACTAGCACAATTTCATAATCTGGAGTCCTATCATTGGAGGATAAGTCTAGGAGAGAAGGACTATTTCCATGGTATGGTGTGACATTGATAATATTACCTACACCCTACAGGGTTTTGCAAATGAGACTATAAGAGGTTTTGAATACTTGTCAAATACACAAAAGAGTCACAGACTGACGTTGCTGAAACATGACATGGCTCTTGATTATCTTTTGGCCAAACAAGGGGGCCTGTGTGTGGCTCTGAACTTAACTGGTGATGCTTGTTATACTTTGATTCCTGAGAGTACTGATAAGATGACTAGTGTCATAGATGCATTGAAGCATATAAGGGGGGCGTTTGGCCCATCGGAAGGAGCTGGAGGGTTGGCGAATGCTTGGTTGCAGGAGAAATTAGGACCATTGGGAGCAGTGTGGGTTCAGATTATGATAGCAGTTTTTATATCATTGAGTGTTTCTGTACATGGTTGTTAACTTTTGCAAAGGCAATGATATTGAGAGGGGTTGGAGTTGTGATGCCTGGAGATCAAGTTCAGATGCCATTATTACATAGGACTGACACAGACTATGACAAAGAAGTGGTGATAGAAGGTGAACTGATGGAGAAATATCCATTCTGAATATCTATTCTTATTATAATCCTAACATTTATTTCTGTTACTATTTGGGTATTTAGTAGTCTCTTACTATAGAGTGGGATGATAGCAGGGGGAAATGAAAAAGGGGATTTATAACTCGGAATAAGGTGAAAGTATGATACTGTGAATTTCACATTTACTTATAAGGTGTTAACCCATATGTGATGTTTCAATTTGCATCTGTTGTTTTTGCAAAAGATACTGGTTGGTGGTTTTCTTTCTTTCCTTCAAGAACGATGCTGGGGGAAGACCACTGTAAGGGTGGCTGGATCTTCGGTGACCCTGATGTTCATGGACAATAAGATGGGACTGAAGGACTTTGAATAAGGACACAGTGATACGATGCCCAGGAGTCAACACATCATCGACACTACACTGAGAGTCGACGCTGCTGAGGAGCTGCAGTGTGATACATTTTTATGTCTTCATATATATTTGCATAGTATGGGATTTAGTATATTATATGGTAAGGGGGTTTAAATTGATTGAAGACTGATGGTTTCTGTTAGGGGGTGAGTGCATTGGGACCTCAGATGTTTTTTTCTTTTTTCGGGTGCTTAGGGATAAGGGTGTTAGGCAGGGAAAGGTCCATTGGAAGGTCCGATGGGTCGACCAGCCTGAATGTGGACATTGTTTTGATTTTATTTTCTGAGGTTTCCATATGTATTTGCTTAAGTCATATCCATATACAATTTGTCAGAATACCTCGTTTTAAAGTGGTCTGGAGTATTTTATGTGGTCGCCTAAGGCAGAGGGGCCGTGAGAGAATTTTTCCTGTCTAGATTGTTTGAAGGACATTTCAGGAATGTTAGCTGCCTGACAGGTTTTTTCGCTCTCACACTCCAGAAAGCTGTTGCATTGCTAAGGTTATGCTATAGGAAGAAGGGTTATTTTGTTATAACTACAAATATGTAGGTGCTACTTTTTTGGGTTTTTCGAGACTTTGAGGAAGTCTCGAAGGGGGGAATGAAGTATATTTAGAAAGGAACCTTTTTATAGAAGAAGGTAAAAACACTCTTAACATTGAGTATAAGCTGATGTCTGAAGTTCCAAGTATCTAGGAGTTCCCTGTGTGCTCTGTTTGTGCAGGGGATAGGAATGTTTGAACCAGGGGGGGCCTCTGGGTCCATAGCCTCTCAATTTAAAGGTCCATAGGGAGTAGGCCTCTCACTTTCTCCCTTCTTCTTAGGTCCAAATAGATGAAATCATTTTAAAAAGAACTATATGCTCTGTCTTCTGTTTCAACAACAAGAACCATATATATATGCTGTTGGTCAGTCTGGCACGGATCCTCTCTCAGGTGCTTTATAGTGCTTGATATGATGCTGTTTTACTATGTAATAAACCGTTTGCTAGCAACTCAGTATCGGCGGAGTTTTTCTTCACAACATCTACACGCCATCGCCACTAAATAAACAACACAGTCTAGGGTGAAAGCACTCCTTATACCTTCAGCGTAAATGAAGGGGGGTAATCTGCTGTTAATGTTGTGTGACGCCACAATAACAATGAATTGGCGGGATCTTTTTGCAGCGTTGTGTCCATATATGTATTGTGTGGTCTGGGGAGTGAGTGATATGTTTTGAAAGTTTGACAGTGTTTACACACTACATCAAACTTTTATTTAAAAAAAATAGGTGTATAGAGGTGGCATGGTTATATCTCCACCAGGTCTGGACCTCATCTTGGTTAAAGGTGCAGTAAGCAATTTATTTCTTTTATTACTAGTAATAACAGAAATAAATCGATTACTGCACCTTTAAACTGTTTTTGTTGACCTAACCTTAAATACAATACTAGAAGTTTCTTTTTTATAAGAAGTACTTTGTAGTGACTAAACTAAGCTAAAGTAAACTAAAGTATTGGGACACCTACACATCACACAGCTTCCACTCTTCTGGAAAGCTTTCTACAAGATTTTGGAGAGTCTGTGTGAATTTTCACCCGTTCATCCAGAAGAGCATCTGTGAGGTCAGATACTGATGTTGGACGAGAGGGCCTGGCTTAATTTGAACCCCCTGTTAGTAATGGGTGTGGCTGAAACACCTGAGCTTAATAATTAGGAGGGGTGTCCCAATACTTTTGTCCATGCTTTATGGTTAATTAACTCAATCTCACACTTACAATACAGTATGAAGGAAATCAAACCTTTAAATGAAGTATATTTAATTTAGGCAAGCAAAAACAAAACCATGTGTGTTGTTATTATTGCACTACTGCATTTAGCAGTTTGTGAACCTTTCCTTAGCCAACAAAACAGCAGTGAGTGGTAAGAATTTCTAGGGAAGCTAATAATTGAAATTGAGCTAATTAACAGCACAGATGTTTTTTCATGACCTTGTTGATCCCCCTTTACCAAGAGTGCCCATAGTTATTAGAGCTCCTTCTGTTTGTGGTTTACCAGTAACGTGTCTTCATCAATGTAAAGACGTTTGGCTCAGATTAAAGGCTGAGGGTCAGATGGTATTTTCCTCTTTAAAGTTCAGTTCAGATCATAGATCATCATCTCCTGGAGCTGAAGCTGCAGACATGAGTGTCTGTCCTCATTCTTTCCTCCTGGGTCTGCTGATCATCCTCTACCTTCAGTCCTGTGTGATGGGAAGAAGTAAGTTAACGTTCTTCCCTGAGTTTTGGCTCTTTCATATGAAAGATTGTCATATGAAGTTTCAGTCCAAAAGGCTGTACATGCATTTGTTACACTTTTGGATATAACATAGTTTTGAAAAGAATAATAGTTGATGTATTATGTTGATTTGTATTTCAATAATAAAGGTTGTATTAATTGTAATATAGCATTGATATTTGATGTATATCAATGTGATATTTTTAGAAAAGGATTCTTTTCTAGCATGTTTAAAGCCCATTCCTAATCACCAATCACTGAACTTAACATAAATATAGTGAAAATAATTATCACTACAAATAATATTTGGTTAAATGTCTATAAAGTGTGATAAAATTTGCATTTAAAATAAGCAGCCCAGAGATTTAAAAAATAGTTTCCGGGTGATAACCCCCCCCCCCCTACTTCTAAAAAAGTCAGTCATGCTTGTTGTCAGTGCCCAAATACATCTCCAATTCCAAAAACGTTGGGACAGTGTGTGAAATGCTAATAAAAACAGAGTGACTAGTAAATTCTGTTTGATCTGTGTTCATCTGACAAACAGTACAAAAAGACAATATTTGATGTTTTACTTGCTGTTCGTTATTTTTTGTAAATATACACACATTCCAAATTTAATGCTTGCAACATGCTCCAAAAAAGGTAGGACAGGTGCATGTTTACCACTGTTTACCATTGCATCACCTTTCCTTTTAACAACACTGAATAATCGTCTGGGGACAGACTTGCCCTTCACGCACAGAGATTTCTCTGGATTCCCTGTATCTTTTGATGCTATGCACTGTGAAATACCTAAAATCTTTTCAATCTCTGGCTGAGGAACATCATTTGTAAACTGTTGGATTTTTTGCTGATGCATTTTTGGCAAAGTAGAAAGCCTGGACCATCCTCGCTAATAAAGAACTCAGCCCTTCCTGAAAGCTACTTTTTTGGGGGACCTTTCCCAGTTTTCTCCCCATATCCAATTCCATCATATCCAATTCCATCCACTAGTTAGGACGAAGTACACAAATCATGTGCTTGAGTTAAAGTAGAGATACTCAAGGTAAAATATTACTGCAGTAAAAGTAGAAGTTCCTCCCTTTAGACCTCCACTTGAGTAAAAGTACAAAAGTATTTGCCTTCAAATGTACTTAAGTATCAAAAGTAAAAGTACTAAAAGATTAATTATGGCTCTGATGTCCTGTTATCATTTTTCGTAACAAGACTCGCTTCATTAACTCATTTTAGGTGAAAATACTCCAGTGTCTCTCTTGGTAAACCAGTCTTTTAATAGAATGTCATTAATTAGTGACGCTGATGTCTATTAAAATTATCATAAGCACAAAACACTGAAGGCAAACAGTTTCCATCAGGTAGAACTGAGTGGCTCTGAAATCACTTTTTACAAACAAGCAAAGTTTCAGTTTAAGATTTATTTGAACTTAGTTCCAAGTTTAAGTTTAATAAAAACTTTAAACTCAGATTCACAAATGAGTTTCCTTTACTAAACTGCATCTGTAGGTCTCTGTTCATAAACATAAACCAGCCTAAACTAATTTACTATAAAATGAAATGTGTTTGTATAAATTCAGAATAAAGACCCGTCAGTCACAACTGCATATGAGTACATATTTCTATATTGTGGTCTATTTACACAAAATTAGGTTAGTTCATCATTTATGTTGAATAGACTCTCCCAAAATTTTACGCTTCTGCACTGACGTTGAACCGTGTGCTGCACTGGGTCGGTATGACTAACAGGTCAAAACAAGCTCAAAACAAAGTGACCGCTGTGCCCTGATTGGTGTTCTTGCTTTGCGCTTCTTTCATTTTGACATGTTACGTTTTTATACACACATAAACCAGAAGGAGCGACAGATTTCTCAGAATGTAGTGGAGTAAAAAGTGAGATATTTGACTTTGAAATGCAGTGGAGTGAACGTAAAAAGTCCCCAAAATGGAAATACTTCAGTACAGATACACGAAAAAAACTATTTAAGTACAGAAACGAATTACATTTACTTAGTTACTGTCCACCACTGTTAGGATGTTATGACTCCCCCAGTCCCACAACACCACCAGCGCTGGGAGGGTGAAGGCCAGCACAGGCTTCCTCCAAGACCTGTGAAGCCACTGCATGTTTTTGAACTATCGTTAAAGCCATCCTACCCACCCAGAGAGAGTGAGGACAGCTGTGCTCTCCTGGACCCCCAGCCATGGATGACTGTAGCATCAACAGGGATCGAATGGGATGTTTTCTGAACCTTAAACTGTCCCTTTTGGAACCTGTTACAGGCTTCAGTTTCAGAATGAGTGTATATTTACAAAAAACAATGAAGTTAATAAGATACAACTATTATAACGTGACCTGAGTATGAATAAAGTAGCATATACTGTTTCCCTCACTCAGACTGTAGTGTAGTGTACTGTACTGTATGTGTGTGGATGAACTAACAGACTGTAACACTGCAGCTTTATTCACAGTATTAACAAGAAGAGTAAAGTTAGAGATGATCTCACCTGCTGTAGCATCATTACACTCACTAACACTGTCATCTACAGATCACTTCACTACATCACCTCTTCACTCTTTACTACATCCTTCTTCATTTTATTATTATTATTATTATTATTATTATTATTTTCACACAGATTAAGATGCACCAGAGAAATGCTATTTCAGTTTCTATACCAAACCAATCCCTGTAGCTGTTATTAGTGAGTACAAAGAAATGAGAGATGACTGTACAAGAGCTGGAGTGATGTAAGTTCTCACCCCCATCCTTTATTCCTTTATTAATATTGGAATAAGACAAACCATATTTAATATTATTACTTTAAGCCACTGTTCGTTGTTTAATCTTATTGTTGTCACTTAGATCCACTGCAAACTTTAACATTACAAACGTTTACTGAACATTTTATTATATCAGACATGGTTTATATGATAATCTATCAGATCCATTAATCTAAAACACTGACAGTGATCTTTTCTTCACTGCAGTTTTACCACCAAGAGGGGGTATGGTGTGTGTGGACCCCAGCTTTAGGTGGGTGAAGGAGACCATGGTGTCACGTTTCCTGCCACTCATCAGACGGAGCTAGTTCGGAGGATGAGGATCACTCCGGAGGATCATGTGACTTTGCTGAGGAGTCTGGGAAATGGAGTTCGTGTCAGAACATGCGAGCGAGGGAACTAGCTCCGTCTGATGAGTGGCAGGAAACGTGACACCATGGACAAAATCGATCATCGAATTGTGGAAAGTCCGGACAACCATGGACACAATTGATATTTGAATTATGGAAAGTTCAACTTCAACTCAGCTAAGTAATTAAATAAAACCAGAGCTGTGCTGGAGTAAGATGAACTATATTTAATATAACTATTTTAACCCCTTTAAATCTTAGGCTTATTACTCAGTAACTACAGGGACTTCAGTGCAAACTGTCTGAGCTATGCTCAGGTTATAGAAGAGTGTAATAAAACTTGGACCTGCTGGTGGACCCTGGCCATTTAAGGGGTTAAGCTGCTGTTCTTTCTTAACTCTTACTGTCGCTCTGTTAACAGACTTTACAGACATTACAGATTTTTACTGAATGTTTTTATTATCAGGCATGTTTTATATGATTATCTCTCAGATCTGAAGCCTGAAACACTGGTGCTGATCTTCACTGCAGTTTTACTAAGCTGAAAGGGGATTGTGTGTGTGTGTGTGTGTGTGTGTGAGTGTGAGCGTGTGTGTGTGTGTGTGTGTGTGTGTGTGAGAGAGTGTGTGTGTGTGTGTGTGTGTGTGTGTGTGTGTGTGTGAGTGTGAGCGTGTGTGTGTGTGTGTGTGTGTGTGAGAGAGTGTGTGTGTGTGTGTGTGTGTGTGTGTGTGTGTGTGTGTGTGAGTGTGTGTGTGTGTGAGTGGGTGTGTGAGTGTGTGTGTGTGTGTGTGTGTGTGTGTGTGTGAGTGTGTGTGTGTGAACCCTGACTCTAAGTGGGTGCAGCGGGCTGTGGACAGAATGGATCAATGGATTGTGGAAAGTTCAACCTGAACTCAGCCAAGTGATTAAATTTTCTCTCTATATATGGAAAATAAACTGCTTTCTACTTTCCAGCACTTTATTACTATTGCAGTGTACTCGTCTCTGACTGGGATGGAGGAATAAAGATTTCTGTTTTTTTAACAAGTCAGCTTTCAGCATTCGGTACAGACTGGAGGAATGTGGTTTTTTAAGTCAGAGTGAAATACATGAATTCAATATCTTCAGTGTCCTTTTACAGTACTATTTACATCATGCTTATACACCGATCAGGCATAACATTATGACCACCTCCTTGTTTCTATACTCATTGTCCATTTTATCAGCTTTAATCATTATCATTTTAACACCTCAGTGTCGCTGCTGGACTGAGAGTAGTCCACCAACCAAAAACACCTAGCCAACAGCGTCCTGTGGGCAGCGTCCTGTGGGCAGCATCCTGTGACCAGTGATGAAGGACTAGAGGATGACCAACACAAACTGTGCAGCAGCAGATGAGCTCTCGACATCTACAAGGTGGACTGACAAGGTAGGAGTGTCTAATAGAGTGGACAGTGAGTGGACACAGTGTTTAAAGACTCCAGCAGCACTGCTGTGTCTGATCTACTCGCACCAGCACAACACACACTAACCACCACCACGTCAGTGTTACTGCAGTGCTGAGAATGATCCACCACCCAAATAGTACCTGCTCTGTGAGGGTCCATGGGGGTCCTGACCACTGAAGAACAGGGTAAAAGGGGGCTAACAAAGTATCAGAGAAACAGATGGACTACAGTCTGTAACTGTAGAACTACAAAGTGCACCTATATAGTAAGTGGAGCTGATAAAATGGACAATGAGTGTAGAAACAAGGAGGTGGTCAGAATGTTATGACTGATCAGTGTATATACAGAATAAAGAAAGACAAAGAAAGTTAAAGTGTATCACACCTCTTTTGTGTAAGTTTTAAAAATGCACATAAACAAAGCCAG